CTTTTTCTTCTATGGGAGTTCATTCACAAAAAAGCTCAAAACTATGAAAAAAACAAAACAAAAGAAGACAGAAGAAAATCCATATCCAATTAGCTTGTTCTCTGCTTGAATGGTCGTATAAAGGAGGCAGGGGCCGGCAACACAGACGTGTTAGCTGTGATGTGCCCACAGGGTGAATGAGGAGGGCTTGTTAAACACTATAAATGAGATTCAGGCAGGAGTCCTTTTTAACGTTCCTATGGATTGTTGCCTTGGAAGTCTTTCCTGTACTTTCATTTATTTCCACATTTCCCCGTGTCAGCTTTCTGAAACGATACCCGAAAGAAATAGAACGAAAGACCCGTGTCAGCTTTCTGAAACGATACCCAAAAGAAACGGGATAGAACTTGTCACTGAATACGGCATGGGGAAGAAACTTAAGTCTGGAGGGGGAAGTTAGTTGTGCTTACATCCAAACGTTCCTCCTTTTTGAGGTCATTTAGTATGTGCATAATTCACTGTATCTCTGCGGATGTATTCTTGGAAATGTATTAAGAAGAGTAAGTCATATGTGGGATTCGATCTTGGCCAGGAGGTGAACCCTGGGGTTCCACACCAATGACAGAGACATTGACTCTGGGACAAAGCACCACCAAATGACGATTGATAAAAAAAAAAAAAAAATCTCCATTCACCTGCTTGGTATTTCCTCTGCATCTTGGATATTAAAGGGACCAAAGCCAAAAAAAATTCAGTGCACACACATTATACCAGCTGAGCCTGTAGACTCAAGACAGCCTGACTCCATGGATTAGTCTTGTTGGTGCCAAATTCTGACCCGACCATCTGTAGCTTCTGCAGAAAGCAGATTCATCAGATCCTCTGGTAGGTGAGCTGGTTTTCATTGCAGCTTCAGATTTACCCTCCTGTGGTGTCCAGTGCATGTCATGATATGGTATTCTTTATTCTGACATGTCTCCTAACATATATATTTCTTCTTTTTTCAACTAAAAATAACATGTATTCAGGTCCTGACCCTGAAGTTTCTCATTAATGAGATACTGCACAGATTATATATACTGTATATACATATATATATTATGCCTTTTATACTTCATCACAAGAGATTGTTATGTGCGCTCTGATGGGAATTAATAGTCAAACCGTCACAAATCAACAACGGCATCACTGTTAAAGTCACAGAGATCAGTGGTTGATGGGAACATTAAAGGCAGGGTAGGTGATCTCTCTCTGACGTCTTCTGCATGCCAGTGGCAACAAAGAACAAAAAATTGAGAAGCTCTGACAACAAGAGAGGAGACATGCTATCTGTGTGAGATATAGGCCATAACAATTTCCACCTGTAATTCAGTTTTCCTCGGGGGAAATTCCTTCTACAGCTGTAGGAGTGTGAATGGGATATTCAATCTAGAGGCACACACTCCTGCTCCTGCTATTACAACAAGGGAGGACGATACGTATTATCAACTGTTTTATTGACGTTATTTAATACAAACATGTGTTTTCTTGCCTGTGACTCAGTACGAGTGTCAACTGTTGTCAGGAATCACGTGGTCTTCTCCTTATACTAATAATTTTATTGACGTTATTTAATACAAACATATGTTTTCTTGCCTGTGACTTAGTATGAGTGTCAACTGTTGTCAGGATTCACGTGGTCTTTGTTTACTCCTTATACTAATGGGCTGCAACAATTAAAGTTTGCCCAACATTGTCTTTGTACTGTATATAATAAGACAGTGATCCTCAACCAGTAGCTCGCAGTCCAAATTTGGCCCAAAGAACCATCAAATCTGGCCTAAGTTTGCCCAACATTGTCTTTGTACTGCATATAATAAGACAGTGATCCTCAACCAATAGCTCGCAGTCCAAATTTGGCTCAAAGAACCATCAAATCTGGCCCGCAACTAGAGTTGAAAATAAACATTGAATAATAATGTTAAAAAGAATATCTGGCCCCTGAAGTGTCTGTACAAAACATTTTGGCCATAAAAACTGACAAAAAAATATTGTTGACCCCATTAGTAAGAGGTCATCATCATTGTGGTTTTTTAAATCCAACAACAAAAACTTTAATGTCTGTTTTATTTGTTTGCAAAAGTATGCAGTATCTCGTGTCATAGACTGTATAAATAACCTGACTTTGTTCCTTCAAGCCTCAGTTCTGACCTCTCTTCGCCAGACTCCACACTACATTGTGCTGAGTCACTGGTTTTATGAGGGAGCAGATGTTCATCGTGACACACCTTCACCGAATCTTCTTGGTGTTTCTCACATAACAACCCAATTAAAAGGTGATTTGTTTTCAGCCCCTGCAACAAATGAACTTTCAGGGTTAGTCAAAGAGTTTCACAGGCAGTGCGTGTACCAACAGACGTTATCATTATCGTGTTTTTTTTTTTTTTTTTTTTGAATGTCGTACCACCTTGTACAAAATAATAACACTAATAATGGCCAACCAATGAACAGAGACAGATACCGCCTTCTTTTTATTGAATAGATAAATAATCCACACCACACAGTCGTCATAGTAGCAATGACAATTACAGTAATAACAACATCATAATGGCTGGGTGTTCCCATCACTATTACTGTCAGTGTAGCTCTAATAGGAGAACATATAAGGACCTCACTAATGGACTGCAACCTTGCAACTCACCTTGAGGCGGCTGCACCTTTGCACTTCATCATAGTAACATCTACAACAATGCAGTAGAATTGGTTCAGAATCATCGTATCATCACTACTCAGTGCCGTGAGAAAGATCAAAATCATCCATTTTACTAACTAAGCCAAATGTATTGTAGGAACTGAAGCCATGTATGTATTAAAATGTACCCGTGATCATAATGGGATGTATTTAAATGAGATGTTGCCCGCTACCAAACAAACTTTGACAACATGTAAAGGTGGGTATTGAATAATTCATGCACAGTCATAATGACTCATCAGGATGTGTGCTGATTATGTTTTTGTCTGCTGCACTGGTTTCTGTTAAGGCCTTTGCTACTGTAGTGCTCCAAGAGCTAAACCCTAATGAATTTTTAATAGTGAATCTCTGTCTCCAAATGAGACCCCAGGTGCCTCATTTTCTACAGCGGCTGATATCTTATGGGAGGTCTGTGTATTCACTCACCTCTATCTTTTCAACATTCATTCCATCCGTCTTTGATGGCGCTGTATTGTAATGTCAGTGGTTGGCTGATATATTTGACCTATTTCCACTACCGCTATCAGGAGGAGAGCTCGGAGATCTTGTTAGATATTACAAACAGTCAGGAAAACCAATGGATCGAGTGATGGGTAGTGGATGTGAAAGGAGAGGGGAAAATGAGCGAGGAAAAATGCTGGGTCTGAGTAAAAGACATGTGGTTTGACAGAATAATATGAGAGACAAAAAAAAAATCAGTATGTAAAAATGAGGAGAGCCAAATATGCGTGACCACTTTACTGAGTTAATGGAACCCCTCTTAACCAGAATTCAAAAATGGTATAAAAACCTGTGCAAGTATGTAGATCACCTATTGTAACTGACTGCCATATTGTACATTTCAGAGCCCTGGTTAGCAGAGACCACCTGCAGAGTGTGTGACCAGCAGGGTGCCATTAAAACTGGGCTACAGTCAGTCACATACACTCAGTGATAAGAGGGGTAAGCCGCACAGGGAGTGTGAGGGAGAAAAAGAAAAAAGAAAGAGGCAGGAAAAGTTGCTTTAAATCTGAGCACAATAAAAGGCAGAAGGAGAAATCCATTGGATATATGAACCAGAAGGCACGGTGAGGAATGAGATTCTCTGCTGTTGTATTTTTATCTAGATAATAAAGGGAGAAGGAGTATTCTTGAAAGGACAATCTGTCATGAATGTGGTGAACCGAGACATGATAGCAACTATTAACATCAACAAACAACACTGACGGAAAGGTAAAGGATTTGTGACCAGGACAAAATGGGCTACTGAAGCATGAGAGTCGGGGGTAATGTGTGAAAGAAGATTGAAAGAAAAAATAGGTTTACAAAACAGTCGTAAGCACTGCTTTGATGCATGGCAGTGATCAACAACTGGAGACAAACTTTCATGAATACACATCAAAAGTCAGCATTGAACAGTCAAATATCACAGACATGGGCTGGCATCCCTCCCATCTCTCAAGTAATTTTCCAAATACATTAGGAGTTAACAATCAATATTCATTCTTCTTCTTTTTTTTTATCTGGTAGAGCCCAACTCCTGAGGGAAATAAGTCGTTCGTTGGCTGCTAATAGCTCAGCCGAGGAATCGTTAACATTATCTTTGTGCTCAGCAGGTCGTGGAGAGTCTGACACAGTATGGAGGTCAGAACAGCTTCCCTGCCGCTGCCAGTGATCTTTAAAGTTTGATCTCTGCAGACTAGAGGCCAAACAGGAAATCCAATTAGAGTTCATCTTTAAAGATGACCCTCGCTTCTACCGCGCAACATTATTCATGTGAGCGGTTTTGAAAAAAATATTACATTATATATATATATATAGCTGCATGTTAGTACCTGTCAAGTTAAATGTTTGCAGGTGACCAGGTTTAAACCTAATCAAGAGGAAGTAATGGGAAACTTTTTAGACATTTTAGGACAGTTAGGAGCCAAAAATGTATTTGGATTTATTTTATTAGAAAATATTCACACACCATAAAAATTACATGTACAAAACTATAAGATTTGAAATTGCTTTATGTACAAATACAAAAGATAAAGCCTAAAAGAAAGAATAACGTATGACAGGAACACAGGAAGTGAAACATCATGACAAGAACAAGGTGGTGTTTTTTTTTTTTTTTTAGCTGTAGGTGTGCAGTTCGTTGCTCAGGATAGAACAAAAGGTTTGAGGCTCTCTGTCTTACTTACTTAAAAACAACAACAACAAAAATAGAAACTTTTTACAAACAAAATTAGTTGTATTTTTCAATTCGATCTACTATTTCAGCTGTTATGGGGGAAAACACATGCAGACTACAACAACAACAAAAATAGAAACTTTTTCCAAACAAAATTGGTTGTATTTTTCAATTTGATCTACTATTTCAGCTGTTATGGGGGGAAACAGTTAACACATGCAGACCTTACGCATCTGTAGTAACACCCGTTAACCAACAAATCCAAGATTCCATGAAGATGCAACTCTTTAGTAACAGCACTGAAGGGGACCTATCATGTTACCTTCAAAGATTTCTAAACATTTTTTTTTTCGTAGTAACAGCACTGAAGGGGACCTATCACGTTACCTTCAAAGATTTTTTTTCTCTCACTGTTAAATAATGTCTTTAGAGGTCTGCATAATTACTTGGGATGGCTCGATCGACTTTCATGTCCGATATCGATACCACAACTTGGAGTGTCTGGCCATACCAATATCGACCGCCTATCTCTTCCAGCTGCTGTTTCCTTGGCGATAGTGTCCCTGTTCACCACACGTCACGTAAAGTTAGGTTGATCTTAGTATTGGATCGGTCGGACTATAGTTGATTTTTTTCTTCAATGTAATTTCCTGAAAATGTGACCAATATCGATTGTGAGTATCGGAGTTGGTCAACAATCCTCACCTGTTCCTTGGCTAGGCTTATACAGTTGGACAAATGCTTTAGTTATGCTAAACAAAACAGCTTAACAAAATGTAAAAACATACTGTTACAACCCGGTGGCTATCTTTGATGCTTTTACTGGTGCAATTGCTAAGGTCAGCATACACTAAAAACAGCGTTAGTCAAATCGTATACCATACTGTATGAGAAAAATAAAAAGTCTACCTTTACAATATTACACTGTGAAGCTGTTACTTTAGTGCTTCAGGTCATCGATGCAGTTGCTTTGATTCATGCAACACTACCATTACACCATATCTTTCCTTTGAAGGACTTAAAGGATCTGCCATTTAATAACAGCAGTAATGACAGAGGAACACCATCCACTCCCAGATTTCCATGAATTCTTCCCTGCTCCTATTTATCTAGACGTTAGGAGAAAAAAGCACTCGTCTGCAGGGCTGCAATGTTAACGGGTGATAAAGGATCTAAAAACTAGGAAATACACCAAGGTGGGAGATGAGAAGCCTGATCCTCCGTGTGTAAACTCAGTTGACAACGTCTTGATATCTCCCCATGATTCAAAGTATCTTTCTTCAGCTTTTTTTGTTTTGGAGTCAATTTTTATAAAAGGCAAGTTTTCCTCCTAATAAGTGTTTGTCTAGGAAATATGCTTATTTGCTGACTAAAGGAGAAAAAAAAAAGCTGCTGTCAGGATATACAAACATTAACTCTGTTTATAAAATGTTATTATGAAGTCAACAAAAAAGGAAAAATAAACAGCACCTGTGGTTATTTGTATAGCGGGATACGCTAAATGCCCGTGGTACTATTCTAATAAAACTGTTTATGCAGAGCGAGCGTTACTCGGGGCAGATGACTCTGAGCTGCAGTTTTGATGAGCTAAAGTAAATGAGGTGCCCGAGGGAAAAGATAGCATAATAGGTCCCCTTTAAGTTACTGTGCAAAAATATATTACATGTCCCCATCTTGAACACACTTTGACCAGCAAAACAAACTCATTTGTGATAACAAAAAAATGTGCAGATGTCATACAGAGACAGCAATAATCTCAGCGATGCAAGTAGTGCAGCCTTTCGTCACCATACAGCATTTGTTCCTCACAATACAGTATAGAGATTTTGAATGTAGAACACGGTAAAATTATTTGGTGTTGATTTTAAAAAAAAAGGGGGCGGATGTTTCATGTGCTTTTCTCAAAACAAAGTTGTACGATGTCAGCGATCACTGCTATGGTTTGGTTTTCTGGGAGTTCACTTTTCCATTGTCATCTTCCTGTCAGTTCTGTTCTTTTCAGTTGACTTCAGACGAGATGTTTTCGGCCCAATAACTGGTCTGAAAAACACAGAAAAACACATTGGGAATTCGTTCCGTATTTCAAAATGTAAAACAAATCCATAAAAAAAAAAAGTGAGATGTTTTATATGCAAGAACAGTAATTCTGCTATATTGAATGGAGATATGTCACGTTCAGAGACCAAACAAAGACCTGGCACTTAGGTTCATCGAAAAGCACTTTCTCCAAACTAAACTTATTAAAAAACTAAACACTCACTCAAAGAGTGATCATTCCAGGCAGCGTTATTGGAAAAGTCAAGAGCAAAGTGTTCATATGATTAAAGTCATTAAAACCCACTCATCTATAATTTATTCTCTGACCTCATATTTCTACAGATCCCTCTTATAACGTTGAAATCATATGCACTCAGCAATAAAACGGTAATGATAGTTTATCCAAACGAACCCAGAGAGTTATGAAGATGTTTAGGTGAGAGGACAGTGGAATAACACAGTCCGGAAATGTGAGAGGATGCCTGATGAATGGAGAAGACATGATGTAATAACCAGAGAGGAATAGTCAGAGAGGGATAAAGTGAATGTTTGGTCATTTAATAAAGGTATCGCGAGAGCGTTAGATCAGTAAACGGTACTTAGGTTTTGACCATTAATACAGATGTGATTTCTCTTGTGACTTTGACTGTGTGAATCTATCTATCTATCTATCTATCCATCTATCTATCTATCTATCTATCTATCTATCTATCTATCTATCTATCCATCCATGATGTATAAATATGTATGCAGATAATATTATAATTAATATTGTGTATCTATCTATCTATCTATCCATCCATCCATCCATCCATCCATACATCCATCCATCCATGATGTATAAATATGCATGCAGATGATACTATAATTTGTGATAACACCAGAAAGCAGTTGGAGTAGAACACAGAAAGGTAAACATTTTCCTTATAGCACAGCAATGTTAGAGATCATTTGTTTGATATTAACTAGTGTATGATTTCAAGCAAAATCCTCCTCCTAATAGGTGCTTGCCTAGGAAACAAAAAGCCGCAAAAAAAAAACCCAAACAAAAACAAACAAGGATTTTATCGAGTGACATTACATTTTTTATGGCAAATGGAATTGTAAGAAACAGACTTTGTTCAACTCATATACTGCTGACTTCATTAACAGAATGTGAGCCTCCTGGAATGATAGGCTGTCACGCAGTACGAAGCCCCAAGAGAAAACCAGTTTATCCACTGGGAATTGTCATTGAGGTATTTGCGGTGGCACTGCACAGAGTGGAATTTCTTTAAAAACAAACATGAAGAAGAGATGTCTCACAGTAACGGTTTTCTAGCAATCTAGATATTACATCAATTAGAAAAATAACAGATGTATTGCTATTTTTCTGTAGATAGATGGATGGATAGATAGATAGATAGATGGATAGTTTAAATCATATGGACTTTTATCTATTACTGATTAATGTACCATGACTAATTTAAAATCCCAACCTCCTTCCAGAAACTACCATCGACATGTCTCTGTAGGCAATACCCACAAAGAAATTGCATTAGGGTCACATAGATACATGAAACACCTCTCAAGATTCCTCCATTGACTTTGTGTAAGTGACTAAAGAGGTGAAATAAAAACCAACGAATAATCCAATTTCCGACCAGCTGCCACACTGTACCATACAACATTATAGCTCCATCAGCAAACCACCCGGCAGACACTCCTAGCATATCCTGCTGTAATGAGAGCAGAGCCACTGTCTGTCAATGGCACCGCCTCAGCCCGGAGCAGGCTTCCTGTTTTACACTGAGACAAGTCATCAACTGTGGAAGCGGAGCCCATTTAGTACCTGATTCATGACTCAGCACTTAATTACACGTACATACTTCCCTATTACTGCCCACCAATTTATCCCCACTTTCAAATAGGCAGAAACTGCTGAACAGCGATGTTGGAGCAGCATGTCGAGCATCATTCCTTACACTTAGACTAAATGTATGAGGTTTTTAAGTGACTCACTAACAAACCTCACGATATGAATTTGGCACTATTGCACTACAAATCCCATTTAATGTTGCCTAAAGTGGTTGGACCTTTGCCAGTCTATCTAAATACGCTGCGAGATGTTCCAGGCCTGTAGTCACCAAACCTAATTAATGTGTACGCACTGCAGTGAGGCACACGTTTTACCTGACGTCTGCTTTAATTGTACTTGAACTTTCATGTCCAATTGTATTTCAGCGAGCATGAAAACTTTGGCAAAGATCTATACGTGCGCAAGCATTTTCAAGATAGATGACTAAATTAAAAAAATATTGTTTAGGGAAGAAAACCACTCTGTGGTGATTTAAAGCAGGTCAAAGCAGCTAATGCATAGTTTAAAGGCAAATTAATCCTACGCACAGAGCACAAGTACACAATTTATAACTGCAGGATGACAGTTCTGCAAAAATAAATCCTACTTAAAAAATCTTGAAAAATCAATAGTTCAGACAAAAAACAAAAACACCAAAAGCAAACCAAAAGTTTGTAAAACCACATCAGATGTGATGAATTGAAAGACAGGGTGAAAGACCGAGGGTCTGGTTCAGCCTGACATTTTCACACCGTTACTGCAACACCATTAGGAGCAGGAAAGTACATTGTGTTTTACACACCTAAAAGACATCTCCATAATTCAACATTCTTCATTTCACCCTAACACATCCTGTTCAGATATAACAGTGTCAGCTGTTTCTGTGGAGAGCTGTGAAAATATAATCTAAAGGGCTAAGGCTTTTAGCCTCCTCCTTATTTTTATTTCAATGACTTTGTAATGCCATTGTTATTATTATTTTTTTGTTCATAGGAATATATGGTCTGTTTGCATAATTTGCTTGAATAATATATATACAATATATATGTTTCCTTTTTTTCTTTTGAAGTATATTTTAAATGATAAACCATCCATAAAAGTTTCAAGTTTCTAAGAAGCCGACTGTGTTTATTTCCAAATTCTTCTTCTCCTCAGGCAGTTTGGACATCCTTAAATGGAACTATTAACATTTAGTCATGACATGTATGTGAGTGAGGTAAGTGGAATGATGACGCAGCAAAAGAAGTGTCGGGGGGAGGGATGGGATCAGTGTCTTACGTGGTAAATCCCTACAAGAAACTCTCTCTTATCTCACTGACAATTCTTAAATTCTTTGACAGGAGAATCAAGTATTATACGAATTTGTTCTCTCTGCCTGAAGAGTACTTTCTTTTGCAGTGTCATGAGATTTTTTTTATTTATTTTTTACTAGTATTTGTTACAGAAACAGTTGTTGACTAATAAGTGGCACATGTGGAGGCAGAACGACCACACCTCAAATCAGTGTGTGAACACAAATGTGTGAACATTCATCACTTTTTAACCGCATTAATATTTTTAACCGCGGTAATCCTACTGCAGAGTGTAGTCACGGCCTCACATTTGCATCAAAAAGTCTTTACCGATATTGGAAAAACACAGCTGCAGCTACTTAGTGTATGCAAATTTCACAAGGAA